TTATAGATACATTAGGTAACATAAATTTCATAATTTTTATTTTAAAAATAATTAAAAAATTATACGCATATATTTCATATTTTAATTTCATTTTTAGTTTATCATGTTTATTGTCACTGATTTAGCTATAATAATGCGCATGTAAATGAGTAAACATTTTATCAAACTATGACAAAGTTTACAAAAACTTGATCTGATAATAATACACATACGATGTTCATAAAATATATTATACGATTTTAATGTTTCTATATTTGAGCTGAGAGAAAGTGTAAAAAAAAAGATGTTATTAAATTACTTTATTATTAAAATATAGATAATAATTAATAGCATTTTTATATATAACAATAAATTAAAAATTTTTATTATGTTTTCGCATATTATTATTTACCTACGAATCTCTTATTACAAACTCTGATTGCAAAATTTTATTTCAGTTTGCAGGTAGATATGTTCAAAAATGATCGATATTTAGAAAATATCGAGGTTTATCCATTTTATATCATACTTTTTTGATGTTTCGTCATTGATGTCGTTCATACAATATTTAGCGACAAAAACGTGATTTCATTTGCTAATCTTGAATGTCGCTCATATAAATGAGTTAGCAGCAATAAATTTTTGATGGTAATTACATTAATTGTATTGTATAAACTGCTGTAAAGTCCAAAATGTCATATTAAAAACAGTATTATGATTGGATCTGTCAAATTGATGCGATTGTGCATAACAAAAATAAAGCGAAACTACTAAAATAGATTAATCTGTATGCATTAATGAATGTATATGAAATTTAAAAAGAAAATATAAAAAAAATTTTTTATTGATCCTTTGAAAGATGACATGAACATGGATTAAAAAAAATTATTATTAAAAAATTATTAACGAATAACCGATTATATATTTCCATATATTCATGAATCGAAATGCTCTTTTCGTCTATGATTATTACATATGTCACAAATATGTACATACAATAGCCATCTGAAAATTTCGTAAATTGTCCGTGAAATTATCATAAATAATAACAAATACATAATAATTAAATAATATAATAATAATAAATAATAATAATGATTTAATAATACAATAATTAATTTGATATAACGTATTGATTGATCATAAAGAAAAATCGGTATAAATAAAATTGGAAATAAAAATAAAAATAATCAGTTAAATAAGGTAAAATTGCATGCAACAAATTTTTTATTGATAAGAAATTTGTATTTATTTATTTATTGTGATAATTATTTAGAATTCAGGGACATCTCTACAAAACTTGATAAAAATATATTTATTCGACACGTTTTTATTCAAAATGAAACAATCTGGCAGAAAACGTGGTGATATGCTTCACGAAGCGAATTATTAAAGTTAGAGTTGGACTTCGGAAATATTACCCGAATTTCACGTATCATTTTATCTTTATATTTAATATTGGATAATAAGATAATACACGAGGACACTCGGCATTTACATTACGCAGTTCTTATAACTTATTCAGATAAAGAAAACTCGTTTTTCTAACCTGAATAATCGCTTCGTAAAGCAGATGTCGCATTTTTCTACTTAATTCTACTACATTCTCTCATTTCGAATGAAAATATATTAAATAAGTATATTTTTATCAAGTTTTACGATGACATCCATATTCTAAGACTACATTTCAAAACGTCCTCTCTGAGGAAAATTTTACTCAAAATACTGTAGTATTATAAGGTACATATCTTATACATATTTCGAGTAAAATTTTTTTCGGAAAGAATGTTTTGGAATATAACTTAGTAAATATCCTTATTATACTTACATCCTGTTGTTCCACGTTTAAATATTTGCATAAGAGCGATGTCGTTAAAAGTTAGATTAATTCAATTTTTCAACAATGTTGCTGGCGACAAGAAAGTGAGCAAATTGAGGGAGAATTCAGTCACGTAATCATTTATCGCTGCGACAAGCGATACTATGAAATTGTACTTAAAATGTTTCATCGATATCTTGTATTCAATGGCTATATTGAGATTGTTCCAAAATTCAGAAATGCCAGACAGCCATAATTATAATAATATGTACTTTATTTAAAATGTTAAAAATATAACATTGATTAATTATTTTTAGTATTAATCCTTATTACTTACCCAGAACATCGTTTCATATAATTTACGCAATCATTGAAATGATGTTCAACTGTTCTATTATAATGTTTACGTTATTTTTCAGATCAAAATATCAACATATTTTAATTGTAATTCGCGTAACAAAATCGGAAAACGAAAGAAACACATACGTAATATTTACATATAAATAACGTAACATTATCAGTTATGCATTTATGAAATTTTCAGAGAATGAAACTTCTTGTTACTGAAATTACATAAATATTACGTTAATTAAGGATCGAAACAGTGACAGTAACAGTCATACGTAACAATTATAGCCTTTTTACGTTAACGATATATCTGTTTCGTCTTTGTTATGTTCTGAAATTGCGTACAGCGTGTTTACTGAATTATAATATCAAATGTTAACATTAATAATAAATATATTTAATAAATATATTTTATAATCAATTAGTTTTACCTTATAAACATAAAATATTACAATATTATATAAATATTATTAAAAGTTAAAATAATATTATAATATTTTGAGAATATTATGTAATATTTTTAATATTATGCCTCTTATAGGATAAGTATATAAATTACATTATAAATTAAAGTTTTATTGCAAAGAAAGAAAAAGAAACATCGATGTTGTACAGCCGATATTTTTCTATCATCGATAGCATGTTTCGAGATCAAACATTAAAGTTATTTTTGTCAATGTACATCCCTTTGCAGGCAAATTGGTAGCGAATTCAATCAAATCCGCATTACAAAATCATAGTCATTTGATCTGCTTATGGATCTGTCAACAGAACCTGCTGTCATGTTATACCAGCAAATTAATAACAGGATCTACGCGCTGGAATCTAATGGCAGACTGACAGCAGAAACTAAACAAAAACTGCAAAATCTTTGACTTCTGCAGCCAATCTGTTGGCAAAACATGTCAACAGATTTGTCCAATTTCTAACAACAGTTCGTTAATATTGATAAATAGTACAAACTTTATGTAATAATTTACTGCCTTTCTGCAATCAAAGATTAATAGCACGCTCTACTCAAAATCTGTCTTCGCAGACTTTGCTGTCTGGGAATATCATTATATATATATACGTTTTTATAATATAGAGAAGCAATGCACGCATAATTGCAATATATTTATAATGTAAAATATTCTCATCCATAAGTTTCAATAAATAATGGGAGTTCAATAAATAAGTGATATATAAGCTATAATTACTTTAATATTCCTAAGTGTTTTAACTGAAATTGCATCTGCACTACCGTTATCATTCAGTTCAATTTATACTTTCAATTGATCAACAAAAATACATATTTGAAATAAAAACTATAAGCGCAATGATAAAAAATATTCGTACGATTTTAACACTTTTAATAATGAGTTATTGAATGAGTTATTGAATTAAGTGTTTGATTTAAGCCATATCTAATCATTCAAGTTTATTTTTAATGATGACTGACGAT